ACTGGAACAGGTTGCCCAGAGAGGTAGTGGAGGCCCCATCCCTGGAAACATTCAAGGCCAGGTTGGATGGGGCTCTGAGCAACCTGATCTAATTAGTGGTGTCCCTGCTCACTGCAGGGGGGTTGGACTAGATGACCTCTAGGGGTCCCTTCCAACCCAAAACATTCTATGATTCTAAAAGAAACTGGAGTTGCCTGGGCCTCAGAGTAATTCTAGAGCTAAAGTGGTGACAGACATCACCTCCTGATCAGATAATACATGCCAACAATCATCACCGACCCAAGAAGGCAACCTTCTCCTGCCCCAACCAAGGGTTTCAAATGCAGCACGCTTTCCTCCTCAAACAGGACCCTACCTTGGTCATTGGTAACACCACTGGCATATTTCGTCCTTGAAACGGGACCAGAGGTGCCTTGCGCGAGCCGTCAAGCCGCTGGTTGGAAGCACGGCAGCCTTTTGGTTACTGTTTGTCACCATGCCTTGCACAAGAAGGAAAAGAAGGACAGAAGAGATGGGGAGAAATTTAATCCACGCTGGAGATGACTACAGTGAATAAACAAGGCCGAGACCAAGTCCTCCTCCTCAGGGGAAGGGCACACACCAGGCAAGGAATTGCTGAGCAGACTGGTGTGGTTTGAAGTTACACAGGGAAAGAAGCAGATCTGGGGAAGACAACACAAGAACTGACTACGGCAGCGCTGCTTCCGTACAGCACTGGGGTGTCAACACAGGAGACACAAAAAGTACATGTAGGGCATAGAAATATGATGTGATTATTTAATTACATAATAGACAGTCATCTCTTTCTGCGTGTGTAAATACCTATAAAATCCAAACCTTTGCTCTTCCTCTCACCTCAACTGACACCAAGAGCAATTCGTAAAATCCAAACTTCAGAGAAGCTGCTATGGAATTCACAAAGTACGCAGCCAAAATCACCCATAATGGAACATTCAAAGCACAGTGTTCTCAGATCCGAATTCCTCTTCTTTTCTGGAGAGGAAGCCTCCAGTTTGCCCTCCTAGATTATTTTTTAGTAACATATGTTACTAAAAACTGTTATTTTTGCCCTCAGTACTCAACAGCACCCACTTCCCAAGCCCGCAGTCATGGGGATCGTTCATTGCTAGGGGCTATTCCCACCATGATCCTGCTACATTTACCTGGACATGCTGAGGGTTGACAGAAGATGGGGATCATGACCTATGCCAGCGCTTCCTGCACCACAGCTGCACTAATACGATGCCATCAACCCCAGAATTACGCCTGCCTTCATTTGGCGCAGCCGTCCCATATGATCCATCGCTGTCTGCCCCGTGAAACACTGCTCCTCCTCAAACACACCGGCAAAATGTGCCCCGCGGCTGGGCGTATTTTAGCTCTGAAGCAGACAGGCACAGCCTCAACAGGGAGCAGTGGAAACGCCTCAGCTTGCATTTACAAAGTCTGCAGTGCCTCCAGGGTTCCCCAGCCCATCGACAACTCGGATGTGCTGACCACTCACGCGTACGACGTGCACAATGTACATACACAGGCACGCACGCAGGTGGGCACAGGGGTGTGTATGTGCCTGCACTGCTGCTGCACTTCCTTCCCCACTGCTTTTTTCCAGCCCAGAAGCACCAGGCTCGAGTTCAAGTCAAACCCATGCCAGCAGCCAGGCAACAGGTCAACAGGTATTATCTCAGCATCCAAAGGAACGCTCGCATCGCCACCCCAAGGTGCCTCAGGAATGAGACGAACATTTTGTGGCACTGATGGTCAAGAGCCAGGGCTGCCACAGTCTGAAGCAGCGCCAGGAAGGGAATTGCCATAAGCATATATATACGCACCTATAGAGGTCTCTCTTTCTCTCTCGTCCCTATCGTTTACCCCCCCTGCTCCTCAGCATCACTTCCTTGAGGCAGCACCTGCAACCTGCACATTCTCAGCACAGCAACAAGCACCCTGAGCAGCAGGGCCTCCAGCTCTCTGGGGGATGCTAAAAGTAATGGCAGCTTCTCCTGCCCCCTCCAGGCATGAGCAGTTGTTGACGTTTCCCACCTCCTGGGCACAGAATCCAGGTGCTGGGGGCTATCTCTGGTCACCCACAACTGCAAGACCAACACCAGCAGCAGCGTTTGTCACCCCGAGCAAGCACAGAGCAGCACTGTGGCCAGGCTCAGCACCTTCTCCTATCGAGGGAGCCATGTGGGAACACAGCCACGGCCTCCTTGCCGAAAGAGGAGCAACAAGAATTTCCCTTGCCAGCTCTCCGAGCCACTCCAGAGCTGAGCTAACCCTCTTCAGACCCACGCTCAGATCGTACACGCCACCACCCATCACACACCCAGGGGAACTGACCAAGCTGCTCCCGTTGTCCCACACGGGCATGGCAGGAGAGGAGCAGCTGGGGTGCAGGCACCCAGCCCTGCACTCTCAGCAGGGAGCCAGGGTTGCTGCTCCAAACCAAAGCACAGCCCTGCTGAAATAAGGCAAAACTTACGTGGGCACCTTCCCTTCTCCCGTGACGGAGACATGCTGGCACCTGCTTCTCCAAAGGGAATGCGCTCGGGCACCAGGGTTTCTCGTCGCATTCTTTCCCAGCGTTACCCTGAAAAAGCACTGACACAAGGTCAGTTCCTGTGTCAGCCCGGGGGGTTCTGTG